TGGCATCACCCAGCCCCACTGGGCGGTCACAATCCCAGCAGCTTCGGGCAGCTGCAAAGCCAAGTCTCGTCGGCAACTTCCTGAAGGCGGCAAAGGCAGGCGGGCAAAGTCCCTCCAGGGCCCGGCTGGCACAGGTCGGCACCAGCCCAGGCGCTTCTGCCCTCTGGCTGCGCAAAAGTTCCCATCTCTCTGTGCCCGGGTGGCAGAAGAGGAGGCACTGGGGCTCAGATGGTGGTGTAAATGTAGACAAAGATGATCACGAGGAGGTTCAGGATGGTGCCCACGATGCCCAGCATGGCCAGGACCTTCTCCTCCCGGTCTTCCTTGGACTCTCGCGGCAGCCGGGGGCTGGGGCCGTCACCCGGCCCAGCGGCGCCAGGCACCATCCTCACGTTCAGCTTCTCCACCCGCAGCTTCAGGTCAACCTGCTGGTGAGAGAGAAGGTTAGTCCCGCATCCTGTTTCCCCAGTGCCCCACAGATTAGAACCTAGGAATCTAGATAGACTGCCTCTGGACTGGGAGGCTCCGTGAGATCAGGCCAATGGGCCATCTAGTCCAGCATCCTCACAGGACCCAACCAGATGGCCCAGAGGGAATGAGGGTCATTTCCTTAATGCTTTGGCGGGCATTTTGCTTTGATGTATTTGCTGCCTGCATTGAAATGTAAGTAAACCTTGAAGTTTATCTTACTAAAACGTGTGGTTCATTCTTAGCAACGGGGACAAAGAGGGCAAGGTGAGGAAACCACAAATAAAACAGGGATGAACAGGTGTAATTTACTAATTCTTTGCTTCTAGTAAGCTGCAAAAGCACACATGTTTTTACTCTGCTAAAAGGTCTTCACAGCCTGTTTACTCTCATATTTCTCTCTTACACACAGAACAGGTGGTTTACATTTTAATTTACAAATTTAATCCTCATTCCATCTCCATCACATCTCATCTCCTCTTGCTTGCCTTCTCTTTAGAAGGATCGCGGGGTCTTAGTAGACCACAAGCTCCACGTGAGTCAACAGTGTGATGCAGCAGCAAAAAAGGCTAATGTTATTCTAGGCTGCATGTCCTGATCAAGGGAAGTAAGAGTCCCACTCTAGTCTGCCTTGGTCAGACCAGACCTGGAATATTGTGTCCAGTTCTGGGCACCACAATTTAAGAAGGATGTTGACAAGCTGGAACGTGTGCAGAGGAGGGCAACCAAGATAATCAAGGGTTTGGTAATCTATCCTTATGAAAAACGGTTGGGTGCGTTTAGCTGGGAGAAGTGGACACTGAGAGGAGATATGGGAGCCATCTTCAAATATCCGAAGGGCTGTTACATAGAAGAGGCAACATGCTTGTTTTCTCCTGCTCTGGAGGGTAGGACTCAAACCCATGGCTTCAAGTTACAAGGAAGGAGATTCCAGCTAAAGAGCAGGAAGAACTTCCTGCAGTAAGAGCTGTTTGGCAGCCAAATGGTCTCTTTACTCTCCTCCCTTGGAGATTCTTAAACAGAGGTTGGATGGCCATGTCCTGACCTCCACCTCACCCTACCAGACCCAGAAAGGTCATTATTTTACAAAAAAAAAGCAAAATGACACACACATCGTGCCCCCTCTTCAGAATCACGTTCCACCTTCTGGGCCAGTGGAGCGGGTCGGAGGCCGGGGGCCAGGCGAGACTTACCACGCACTGCATCAGGACCGGCAGGGGGGGAGTCCCATGGGTGCCTCATGCAGGGCCTCTGCTCTCCTCTGGCTCAGTCCAGGCTGGACGCAGCTTCTGCTGGAGGCTGGCAAGGCAAGACGGTCTTCCGTTAGGGTCCCCCTGGCACCAGGACCTCCTCTGAACCCACAGCCTTTGCATCTGCCCCCCATTTGGGAAGGAGGCTGGAGGCAAGAAGGTCAAACGAGGATGGGTGGGGCATAGGCCAATGGCCTACCAGCTCCAGCATCCTGATCTTACAGTGGCCAACCATCTGGTACGCAGGATGAGACCCTCCCTGCCTGCAGACTGTCTTGTCACAGTGGTGCATGCCCTAGTTATCTCCCGCTTGGACTACTGCCATGCGCTTTATGTGGGGCTACCTTTGAAGGTGACCCGGAAACTACAACTAATCCAGAATGCGGCAGCTAGACTGATGACTGGGAGTGACCTCCGAGACCATATAACACCGGTCCTGAAAGACCTACATTGGCTCCCAGTATGTTTCCGAGCACAGTTCAAATTGTTGGTGCTGACCTTGAAAGCCCTAAACGGCCTCGGTCCAGTATATCTGAAGGAGCGTCTCCACCCCCATCATTCAGCCCAGACCATGACGTCCAGCTCCGAGGGCCTTCTGGCAGTTCCCTCCATGCAAGGAGTGAGGTTACAGGGAACCAGGCAGAGGGCCTTCTCGGTGGTGGCGCCCGCCCTGTGGAACGCCCTCCCATCAGATGTCAAGGAGATAAACAACTATCTGACGTTTAGAAGACATCTGAAGGCAGCCCTGTTTAGGGAAGTTTTTAATGTCTGATGTTTTAATGTATTTTTAACCTTCTGTTGGAAGCCACCCAGAGTGGCTGGGGAAAATATTAAATAATAATAATAATAATAAGAATAAGAATACAGTATTAGCCTATTTTGGGAAACCCACAAGCTGCAGGATCCAAGCCCAAGAGCCACACTCTCCCTTCCTGTGGTTCCCAGCAGCTGGGGCTCAGAAGCACCTCTGCCTCCATCTGCAGAGTCACGGCAGAGCCTTCATCCTGGCTAGTGGCCAAGCCCTCTCCTCCTCCATGAATAACAACAATAATAATAACAGTGAGGGAACCAGCAGAAGATCCTCAGAGCTGGACCTCAGTGTCCGGGCTAAACGATGGGGATGGAGACGCTCCTTCAGGTCTACAGGGCCTTTGGCTGTTGAGAATGTGCCTCATCCTCTTCTAAAGTCATCCAGGTTGGTGGCCATTCCTGCCTCCAGTGGCAGGGAGTTCCAGAGTTTGGCTCTGCACTGAGTAAAGGAGGACATTCTTTTCTCTGTCCCGAAACTTCCAACATTCAGCTTCATTGGATGCTGGCAAATCCCAGAGTCAGGAGAGAGGAAGGAAAACCTTTTCCTCAAACTTTCTCCACGCCACGCACAACTTTTAAAACTCCCACCGTGTGGCCTCTTTCTCATCCTTCCTGTAAACTATGAAGTCTCAAATGCTGCAGCCTTGGCTGCTCTTGCCCTGCTCACCAAAACTAAGCCCAAGAGGCTGAAACTCAGTGTTTCCCCAGTGGGAATTCCCTAGGGAGCACTCAGAGGCCCTTAAGGGGGAAAGCGGGGTGGGGTGGGGGATGGAGGTGCCAATGACTACCAGACTTGGAAAAGTTGGCATCCCTGGATCAAGTCCAACAGTTTTGTTGAAGGAATTAAACAAAATAGCCTGAGTTGGATTTTGAATAAATGTGCAATTAGTTTGTTACTATGTGGGATTTTATGGTGTTATCATCTTCCTTAGGGGGTTATGCAAACCACTATTTTGGTTTTTTGGTTTTTTTTAAAGAGGGTAGGAGGCAATGAGGATGACCTTTTGGAACCGAAGGGGCAGCAGCCACCCCCACCCCCGAGTTTGGGAACTGCTTGTGTGGCTGTCCAAGACAACACCCACCCACCCTGTGCCCTCCTTTCCCCACCCCACCCAACTTTCTGTTTCCTCCCCTACTTAGGTTCAGATGCCCCACCCACTAGCACTGCCTGCACTGATGGGACATCCTAAACACACACCCTCTCCAAAACTGCATTCCAGGGGGGTAAATATACAGTAGGCAACTCACAATTAAAATGAAATTGAAACCACCACTGACAAGTTCAATCAGACACAGCTCCCTTCACAGGGAGAAACATGCAGAAAGGGAAGTGGTGGCTGGGGCAGGTTGCCTCCTCAGGAGAGGCCAAGTTCAAGACCTTGAGGAGCCACCACAGAAAAGGCCCCGTTTCTCAGGCCCTGTGTGCCCTACTACAAACACCAGGACAAGGAGGAGCAGGCTCCCCAGGGGGTCTTCTCTAGGGCTGGGCAGTCTCCCTTGAAGCTTTCAGCAGGGGGTTACTGGGGGAAGGGATTGTGGGGGCTGTTAAATCAGTGCATCGGGGAGACAATAATAGCAGAGGTGTGTTTGTGCACCGGGATGGGAGTGCATAAACACCCACACCCACATTTGGCATTTCACAAGCACAATCAAGCAGCATTTAAGTTCCATGAAATAAAATTAATCAATAGAATAAATTTGCGTCTCCTATTGGCTGGGATTCCTGCATTGCAGGGGGCCTGAATGGGTGACTGTTGAGGGATGCCTTCTAACTCTACAGTTCTAGGATCGCATTCTCTGCATTTAGTGCTGCTGCTGCTGCTGCGTGTTGCTCAGCCTCACTCCATGTGGAGCTGGGGGCACCTACACACAACTAGGGCTCAGCCCGCAGCCTGTTTGGGTGCCCCAGCTGCGATCGCGGCCTCTCCCCGCTTTCTCCCCCTAACCCACCCTGAGGCTGCCCGTTGTCCTGCCCCTGTGACCACTGCGAAGCCGGCCGGCCTGCGGGTGCGGGGTCCGCTGCCCTCCACGCACCCGTTGCTGCGGCTGTGCCAAGGCTGCCCTCCCGTTGGGCGCGGATGTGCCCTCCCCTGGCAAGAAGAAGGACGTGCAACGGGGAGGCCTTCTGCTGCCCACTCGAGGGCTCCTCCGTCTCCAGTGACACCCACCTGTTTTGCGCGCACACGCGCCTTCCTTCCCTCTGCGGGGCAGAGAAAGCACCCCACACGCACCCCCTTGGTGGTGCTCCAAGGCAGGGGCCCTGGTGCCCCGTGGGTGCCCCTGAGGCGCGCTCACCCCTCCTGCCCGTGGCGCTCGGAGGCCCGCGCGTCCGGAGCTGCCCGTGGCCCTTGGCGTGGGCTGGGTGCAGCGGCAGGGCCACGTGAAAACGTGCTGTGGCGTCTGCTGGCTCCGCCGGCCATGCTCGGCTCTCCCCACAGCGCCCGTCCCCACGGCTGGCGGGCGGGCGGTCGATCAGGCAGGCAGGCAGGCTCTCTCGCGCTGCTGCTGCCGCCGCCGCCTCCCTACCTGCGTGGCGGCGATGGTGGTGGCGGCGATGGTGGCCTCTCCCGACACGTCGCTCCCGGCTTGCCCACAGCCGCCCATGGCACCGGGGACCGGGCTGGTGCCCTCGCCTCCTCCGCGCTGAATCTTCGCCTGGAGGGGGAGGACAGGCGGGGGCTGGCACGGTGCATGGGGCGGGGAGCGGGGCAGGCAGCCTCTCCCCATGCCCGCTGGCCAGCCCCCCAGGCGCTCGCCCTAGCCAGACCCTGGCACCCCCCAGCTGGAAGCTGCTCTCATAGCCCCCCACCGCACCCCAGATGGCAGCCCTCCCCCTGCCACAAAGCACGCTGTAGAAGCACCTAGAATGGCAGCCGCGACGCCTTCGCCTCTCCTCCTCCATCCTTGAATGCCAGCCCCTGCCCTACCCACGCCTGGCAGCGGGAGGGGGGAGCCCAGCTGTGCCCCCTCCAGGCTGCTCACTTACCCCAGCCCCAGCAGGTGGCTCCCGCCAGCCCCTCACCGCCTCCTCCGCCTCCTGGTGATGCTGCTTCGGTGCGAACCGGGGGCTCCCCTGCTCGCCCCCCCCAACCCGCCACGATCGCTTCTCGCCAGCTGAGCGCCTCTGCATCGGCCGGAGACAGTTGCTAGGCAACCGCCTCCAGGAGTTACATATTGCATCTCGAGCAGATCCCTCGAGATGCCTCCTAATGGGGGCTGGGGAGTGGGGAGACCCCTCTCTTAGACCTGGGGGGAAACACCCTCGCATCTGGTATGGGGGGATCCCTTGTCCCCCAAGTGGGCAGGCGCATCCCTGCGCACAGCGCATCTCCTCGAAGCGGGCTTTGGGGTTGCAACAGGAGAGGGGCTCCCTCTGTCTTTGCCCCTGCCGAAAAAGCACCCCGGCGCCAGGTGGGGCTGCGATAAGGGCAGGGCTTGCAGTGCCAACCTTGCCCACTTGCGAGAGACAGCATCTCCGGCTCAGGCGCTGCGCATTTCCCCTTCCTCCGCCCGCGGCCCTGGATCTCCCCACTGCTTTGGGGTTATAGGGGCACGGAAAAGGGTCTCTCTCCCCGCAGCGGCCTGGCCTGATCCTGGCTGGCCAGCACCACCCAGCCAGCCCATTTCCATCTCTAGCCACCAGGTGGTTTCCAGGCTGCGGATCTGGAGGCAGCCTCAGGTGGAAGAGATTCCCCATCCTATGCTGTCGCTTAGGCGCAGATCCGAGGAAGCGCTTTCTAATGCCCCCGTTTGCGCCAGGAAGCAGGCTCGCCCGCCCTGGAAGAGATCAGGGGCCGCTGAGCAACAGGTAACGTGGCCCTTTCGGCTCTGGAGGCAAAAAAATATTAGGGCGAAGGAGCGGGATAAAAGCGCCATAAATTGTCCGGGAGAGGACGCGGTGTGAGCTGGAACGCGGTGAGCGCAGCTGCGTGTTATTCCTGCTGTCGGTTATCTTGCAATCTATGACCACTGTTTTTATTTGCAGCCGCTCGAGTTATATTTTAAACTGATTGCATGGCTTTGTCATGGCCTTCGGCCAATGCAATAAAATTTATTGGAGGAGCGGGAGCCCTGGCTGCGGGCGAGGTTGTGTCTCTCCTCGGCCTCCACGCTCCGTGGCAGCCGCGCTCCGGAATGCCACCAGCTGTGGGGACGGAGGTTTATTTGCGTTTATTTCATAGAATACATACACCGCTTGACTGCAAAAAAAAAAAAGTAAAGGAAAAAAGCTCAAAGCGGTTTACAAAAAGATTAAAAAACGAAATCCAGAAAATCTTACAGCAATACTTTAAAGCATAAGAAGAGGTTTAAACCCCAACTCTCTAAGCCTCTGGGTTCGGCTGCTCTAAACAAGGATGCTCTGAGCAGGTGCGGAGCAGACTCCAGGGAAAGCGCCTGCCTGGCGTCCAGAGGCGGGGAGTTCCGAAGGTTTGGTGCTGCCACACTAAACGAAGGAGTTCTTACAGGGACCCCCGAGGGTCTTCTAGTCCAACCCCTCACAGTGCAGGAATCTAAATCTCCGCTCAGTGCGGACGTGGCAATGCGTGGCACCTGGTGTCCCGGTTCCGCTGACGGACTGGGCGCGCGGAAGGAAACTGGCCCAGGTGGGCCACTGGCCTCCTCCATCAGACTCTTGCTCTGTCCTGTGGCTGGCTCACACCCCGGGAAGGAGGGCGCTGGCCCCCTCTTGCCCAGCATATGGGAAGGGCGAGGGGGCCGCTGTTCCCCTCCCTACGCCAGGCTCTGACAGGCAGAGGTAGACTTCCTCTGGGGCTGAAAGCTCTGTCTCGTCAACGTTCCTCCTCCGTCTCCACAGGCATCCAAGGGAGGTGCTGGGGCTTCTGGCGTGCCTTGAAACACCCCCCCCCCCAGGGCGAAACATTTAACTCCAAACTCGGTCGTCTCCCCCCCCCCCCATTATGAGTCCTGCATGGCTGGGGGCTGGACTGCGTGGCGCTTTGTGTCCCAATCAGTGCCGGATTTACGTATAAGCTAAACAAGCTATAGCATAGGGTCCCACTCTCTTGGGGGGCCCAAAAATGTAAAGGAGAAAGAAACATTTCCAAAATTTTAAGTTAGAGCTTCTTAAATTATTTCACTATTAATATACTTCTTAATTGTATTTCACTATTAATATACTTCTTCGTAACTGCATTTCAGTTCAACAATTACTTTGATAAAAACATATTTTGTGATGTGCAAATGGCTTGAGATACCTATTATGACCAGAAATTGCCACCTAGCATATATTCAACACCAAAAACAGCGACCATTTGTTGTTGACAAAGGACAGCTGGACAGAGAAAGGGACCCATTGCCTTCAGGAGGTGAGGGCCACATCAAACCTAAATCTGGCCCTGCTCAGGCACTCTGCACATGGCCAGGGACTGTTTACTACTGTGCTGCTGAGCTGAGCCAGTATTGGATAGGTCCGAGAGAGAGAGAGAGAGAGGAGGGAGGAGGATTTAAGGCAGCCCAGTTAACCCTGCAGATGCCATTCATGCCCCTCCCTCTCTTACACACACGCGAGGGGGGGGGGGGAAGGAATCGCAGAAATTCTGCGAGGAGGGAGCCCGGCATGTCGGAGGGTGGGCTGCCAGAGGCAGAGCCGGAGGAGGCGAGCTCTCTCCCTGCAGCTGCAACCACTGGACCTCGCTGCCCCCAGGCCAGCCGCGGCCATTCTGCCGGCATTACATAAGCCTCCGAGGTGGGGAGGGAGCGGCGCCTAGGGGGTGCAGCAGGGTGGGGACAGGAGCGGCGGCGGCGGCGGCGGCGGCGGCGAGGCTGACTCACAGGCAGACGCTTACATAAGCCAGTCGGTCTTCTTGGTCGGGGGGGGGGGCTGGGAGAAGGGGTCCCCTGCTCGCCCTGGGCTGTGCAGCCCCCCGCCCGCCCCGGCTCCAAGGCAGGCGCCCCTCTCGCACGGAAGCGGGGCCGGGGGGGGGAATATACCGGTCTCTTCGCATGCCCCCCCCATCCTCCCGGGCTCAGCATCACGCAAAGCAGGCAGGAGGGGCAAGGAAGGTCTTGGCTTCCCCAATTGCACTGAAATGCGATGGAAGAGAGCGCGGCAGCTGTCTGGGAAGGAAATCCCCCTCCGAAGACCGTGAGGGGCTCATCTACCCCCGAGCCATTTCCCCCCTGGCCCACCAGGCAGCCCCCATGGGAAACCCCCAGGCCCAAGCGCCCCCTCCTCCTCTTGCAGACTCCAGCAACTGGCCTGATTGGGAAGCCGAGCTGTGGAGGCCGAGCCTGCCAGGGACCGGCTCATCCTCCAGGATTTATCTAATCCTCTTTCAAAGCCATCCAGGCTGACAGACCTCACTGCCTCCAGTGGGAGACAGTTCCACAGTTTAACCATGCAAGAGCACCTGGACTAAAAATGTCTATCAAAAACTTCACTCTTGTGGTTTATCACCACAACAGCTACTCACTTTGGGTTTTAGTAAAGCAAACAGTCAAATTTGTCAGCGCCTAAATGACACTGAAAGCACAAGTAGATAAATAGGTACCACTCTGGCGGGGAGGTAAATGGTGTTTCCGTGTGCTGCTCTGGTTCGCCAGAAGCAGCTTAGTCCTGCTGGCCACATGACCCGGAAGCTGTATGCCGGCTCCCTCGGCCTATAAAGCAAGAAGAGCGCTGCAACCTGAGTCGGCCACGACTGGACCTAACAGTCAGGGGCACTTTTACCTTGAAATGATATCGAGTGTCGGAACAGCTTGGCCACAATCTGGAACCTTTGCCCATGGTGTGGCTATTTTTCACCTTCCATTTTGACACTCTGGCACCCTATCTGCATAACTGAGCAATTCTAAAATATAGACACACTTTTACTCTCACAAGATTTAATGTATTGCCCTCAGCTGTACTGGAGGGACGATTCCAACAGATTCCACACGAAAAACGCTGATGTCCCTGTCCAAATCGGTGGGCCTTCTGGCTTCCACTCTTGATAAAGACTTGAGGAATGAGATTGTTGTTGTTTAGTGGTGTCCGCCTCTTTGTGACCCCCTGGACCAGAGCACGCCAGGCACTCCTGTCTTCCACTGCCTCCCGCAGTTGGGTCAAACTCATGCTGGTAGATTTGAGGACACTGTCCCACCATCTCATCCTCTGTCGTCCCCTTCTCCTTGTGCCCTCCATCTTTCCCAACATCAGGGTCTTTTCCAGGGAGTCTTCTCTTCTCATGAGGTGGCCAAAGTCTTGGAGCCTCAGCTTCAGGATCTGTCCTTCCAGTGAGCACTCAGGGCTGATTTCCTTCAGAATGGAGAGGTTGGATCTTCTTGCAGTCCGTGGGACTCTCAAGAGTCTCCTCCAGCACCAGAATTCAAAAGCATCCATTCTTCGGCGATCAGCCTTCTTGATGGTCCAGCTCTCACTTCCATACATCACGACTGGGAAAACCAGAGCTTTAACTATACGGACCTTTGTTGGCAAGGTGACATCTCTACTTCTCAAGATGCTGTCTAGGCCTGTCATTGCCCTTCTCCCAAGAAGCAGGCGTCTTTTAATTTCGTGGCTGCTGTCACCATCTGCAGTGATCATGGAGCCCAAGAACGTAAAATATTTCACTGCCTCCATTTCTTCCCCTTCTATTTGCCAGGAGGTGATGGGCCCAGTGGCCATGATCTTGGTTTTTTTGATGTTGAGCTTCAGACCATATTTTGCGCTCTCCTCTTTCACCCTCATTAAAAGGTTATTTAATTCCTCCTCACTTTCTGCCATCAAGGTTGTGTCATCTGCATATCTGAGGTTGTTGATATTTCTTCCCGCGATCTTAATTCCAGCTTGGGATTCATCCAGCCCAGCCTTTCGCATGAGGAATGAGATTATCACCTCTTTTATTGTCCACTCTGGGTCGCCCAGCCACTGCCCCAGTGTCCCTTCTCTTGGCAGATCAAGATGAGCAGGTGACAACAAAGGCTGCAAGGTTTTTAGCTGGGGCAATCAGAGTAAGATCCACTATTTGACTGCTGCTTCAAAACCCCCATATGCATTTGATATTACTGACTTTCTATTTCTATTCTTTGTATATCGTATTGTTGTTTTATTGCTATGGCCGATGGCTGACACAAACAAAGATTCATTCATTCATCATCCATCCATCCATCCATCCCTCCCTCCCTGCACTGTGTGAAGGAGGCCTCCAGCCTTTCCTCCCTGGACTTCCCCACTAACCCTGCAGGGGCTTGTGCTCTCTCCCACTCCAGACACCCCATTCAGCTCTGAGTGTCCTTCTGCCCCTCTCATCCTGCCCCACATGTCTAGGACTCGCACATGCCCAGCTCAACATGCTGAAGCCAAGGCCTCCGTGCTTCTGTGACATCACAGCAGCTCCACAGGCGGCCACGGGGCTTGTTCCTCCATCCCCACCGCACAGGCTGTTAGTGTGCCAGGCTAGGCCCTTGGGGGACCAGGGTTCAAATCTAGCCCTTCAGCCAAACACCTGGATGACCTTGGGGGACAGCTGCTGTCTGTCTCAGCCTGGCCTGCCTTGCAGGGTTGAAGTGGGGATTGAAGGAGGAGGGGGAGAGAACCACGTGGGCCCCCTTGGAGGAAAAGGTGGGGTGTAATAAAATAAGGATAATAATTTATTGCTTATACTCCGCCCATCTGGCTGGGCCTCCCCAGCCACTCTGGGCGGCTCCCAACAGAATATTAAAAACATGATAAAACATCCAACATAAGAACTTCCCTAAACAGGGCTGTCTTCAGATGTCTTCTAAAAGTCAGATAGTTGTTTATTTCCTTGACATCTGGTGGGCGGGTGCCACCACCGAGAAGGCCCTTTCCTGCTATGAATGTAACAATAAAGAAGGAGGTATTCTGAAGCTGGAATTCCTTCTTTTTCTTTTATTTCTTCTTCCTTTCTCCAGCCCCCCCCCCAAGACACTCACAGAGGCAGCCTTCCATATTTTATTGCATAGCCAGTCTCAGACTGATACAAAAAAGAGAGGCATTATTGAGCTTTGGCTTGTCAGTGGGGGGCGGGGGGGAGGGAGACAACAGCCACCCCCCCACCCCCTGGGCCTTCCCCACGGAGGAGGAGAAGGGTCCCCCCATGGATGCTGCTGCAGACCTGTGCAAAATCCCTCGCTGGGGAGAAAAGCGCCCAGCGCCGGGGGAGAAGGGGGCAAGGAGACCCTGAGAGGACTGGAAGTCACTTGGGGAGGGAGGTGCAAGCGTTTGGGGGGGGCAGGAGGAAGAGGAGGGCTCAGAGGCCAGCCCTGCGCTCCTCCCCACGGCGGTGCAGGAGGCCGGAAGCAAAGGCTGCCCCCCCCCGGCTGCACGAGGGTCTTTGGTCGGAGTGACGCCTCCTTTTGGGGAGGGTCAGAAGGAGGTCTCACTGAGCCGCACTTTGGACGGGGCCAGCGGGAGCGGGGGCTCGCCGGGCGAGGGGCTTGGGCTGGGAGGTCTCGGGGCCGCCGTGGCCCCGCCGCCAGCAGGGCCCCCGCCGCCACGCCTGGCCTTGGCCCCCTGCTGCTCCCTGGGGACCCACCGGGGGTCCGGCTGGGCCAGCCCAGAGGTGCGGGCAAGTTCCTGGCAGCGCTCCACAAAGTTCCCGCTCAGGCGCCGGCTGTCTGGGTCTCCGCGCTGCAGGTGGGGGGAGTCCAGGGGGGGCGGGTTCTCGCGGCCGAAGCGGCAGGCGGGGGCCGGGGAGCCCCTGGCCGCCTTGTCCCGGGGGCCGTCCGAGTCTTGGCACTGGAGGCTGCTGGGGAAGAAGAAGAAGCAAAGGCAGATTATGAGGAATGCTCTGGAATGACAGGAAGAAGACGTTAAAATGGGCTGCTCCCCAAAGAGCAGAAGCTCCGAAGAAGAGGACGAAACTATTTCTGTACGTGGCAACAGCAGCTGGAATATTGCATGTGCAGAAATGGAAAGAAGAAAAGGTTGCACCGAAGGAAGAGCGGCTTCTGAAAGTAACGGACTCTGCAGAGATGGCAAAGCTGAGAGTGAAATGAAGAGAACAAAGTGAGGAACATTTTATAGAAGAATGGAGGCCTTTTGTGGACTATCTTGAAAAAATATTACTGCCAAATGAAATCGCGGGCAGGAATTGAGATAAAAGCAGCGGAAGAAAAACGACAAAATAATTGTAATAAATAATGCAGTAAAAAAGATTTGAGGATAAACACAGTGGAAGTGAGGGTGGGAAGTCAGCTTACAAAATAATATACCGGTAATTATTTGATTTGAAGCTTATTGTGAAAATATTTGAAAAATTTAATGAACCTTATATAGATATAATCTGCGCCCATGAAGGCTAGAGTCCCCTGAGGGAGGGCCAGGAGGGCGCAAGAAGGGCCTGGCTGCAGGATCCGGCCGAGGGCCCATCTTGCCCAGCAGCCTCTTCTCACAACCAGACACCTCCAAGAGAAACCCCCAAACAGGACCCAAGTGCGAACATATTCCCCTAATGTTCCCCATTATCTGGTATTCAGAGGTAGACTGTTCCTGGGCAGGGAGGATCTGCTATCACAAGAAGCCTCCATAGGAAGAGCCTGGCAGCTGGATGAGGCCAAGGGGAGCCCCTCGGGTCCAGCATCCTGTGCTCCCCGTGGCCAGCAAGCAGGGGCACACCAAGGGGGTGGTCAGGCTGGCCAAGGCCACCCAAAGCAAGCTGGTTGCGTTTCCTCTCCATGGTCTCTCCTGGCTTCAGAGGCACCGAGACATCTCCCGGCCAAGGGTGCAAGGGGTATGCCTCTGCCCACCAGATGCCCATTAAGGGAAACCTGAACACAAGAGCCCCTTCCCTCCTGAGGTTTCCAGCAACCAGCAGTCGGAAGAGGCCCAGCACAGCCGGCCATCCTTTGCCCTCTCCCCCTCCGTGACTTTGTGCCGCCCTCTTTCGAAGCCACCAGGCTGTTGGCTGCCGCTGCCTCCGGTATGCCTTGCTCAGGAAGATGCCACACAGAGTGAGTGACCCATGGGGTGCAGCTGCCTCCACTGCCCCTCGGGAAGAGCCGCTAGCCTGGAATTGTGAGCCCTCGGCAAGGAGGCTGGGCTGGGGGTCGGCTTTCTCCGCCCTCCCTCCCCCCCTCCCCGCAGAGTGCCAATCTCTACCTGGTGCTGGCGGTCCAAGGAGCGCTGGGGGGAGCCAAAGGCCTGGCTGGGGGGGCCTCGAGGGAGTGGGAGAGAGCCAAGTCACACTGCTCCAGTTCCTGCAGAAGTTCCTCCTCCGAGAGACCCCCTGCGTCTGAGGAAGGCAGGAAAAGGGGGGCGGGGAGAGAGAGAGATGGAGGAGGACTTTATTGGCCCAGCAAGTGATCAGCCTGACTGTGCCAGGGGCTGGTGTGTGGCACAGCCATTGCAGGAAAGTAACCCTGGGGAGGAACGGCTGAAGCAGGTGGGTGGGTTTAGCCTGGAAAAGAGGAGACTGAGAGGAGATCCCCACGGAAGAGGGAACGAGCTGGTTTCCTCCTGCTCTGGAGGGGAGGACTCGAACCCGTGGTTTCAAGTCACAGGGAAGGAGATTCCGGTTCAACATCAGAAAGAACTTTCTGAGGGAAAGAGAAGTGTGATGGTGGAACAGGCTCTCTCAGGAAGTGGTGGCAGAGGTTGGACGGTCATCTGTCCTTGTCGCTTGAGTGGAGATTTCTCCACTGCAGGGGGCAGAACAAGACGACCCTTGCCTTGGGGGTCCCTTTCAACTCTACAACATCCAACTTTGTTGGACTGGTCATGTTGTGCAGATGCCTGATTATTGTATTCCAAAGCAACTACTCTATTCCGAACTTAAAAATGGAAAGCGTAATGCTGGTGGTCAACAAAAGAGGTTTAAAGACTCACTCAAGGCAAATCTTTAAAAATGTAGTATAGAGACCAACAATTGGGAAACACTGGCCTGCGAGCGCTCCAGTTGGAGAACAGCCTTGACCAAAGGTGTCCTGGGCTTTGAAGACACTCGAACTCAGGACACAAGGGAGAAACGTGCTAAGAGGAAGCCACGCTTGGCAAATCCACACAGTGATCAGCTCCTGCCCGGAAACCAATGTTCCCACTGTGGAAGGACGTGTGGATCCAGAATTGGCCTCCACAGTCACTTACGGACTCACTGTTAAGGCCGTGTTCATGGAAGACAATCTTACTCGGCTACGAGGGATTGCCAGAGAAGACAATTACATGACTGTGATCTTGGGAGTGTTAGAGTTTCACTCCTCCGTTGCTGGATGTGTGATTGCTACATCACGTCTGTGTATACTTTCTAGGCTTGGAAAGTGTGAGAACGGAAGTCAGTCTTATCTCTCTTCCGCTGTGCTCTCCTTTTGTACTTTTCTTTATTCTCTCCCTCTTGGGGAAGTGAGAGGACGCCATGCTTGCTCTGTCTTGTATATGCTGCTTAATAAATCCCTTAGAATGCTACACTCACTCTCCACGTTTGTTTCTGCCATACTCTGCGGAGTGAGCATGCGCATGTCTTTTGATATGCGTCACTGGGGCGCACCAGGACTGATATGCGAATGTCCCAGGCTGCGCTTCATCAGGAAGATGCCCAGAGAGGTCTGTCCCATTCCGGGGGCGTGTGCACCCCGGGCGTGGTGGACTCTCCTTGGAAGTTGGGTGGCCGCCTGTCAGGGATTCTAGAGCTGTGCTCCTTGCATTGCAAGGGGTTGGGACAGATGACCCCTACGAGAAAAGCCCCAGCCCAGAGAGGAAGCAAGAGAGGGCCAGAAGTGCCCTGCGCTGCCTGGCAGAACCCGGCCTCCAGACCCCCACATGGCTCTTCAGTTGATTCCTCCCCACGTGACAGGCACCAAGGCAGCACCTGGGACCTCCTGTGGGGGGACGACCAGCCCCGCTGCCCCCCTCCCCGCCTGGCTCACCTGCCGGCTGGCCCACCACCTCCATGGCGGTGGTGAGGTCCCACATCTGCAGGCTACCGTTGGTGTGGCCGGTGAAGAGGTAGCGGCGGGGGCGGGAGCCGATGCGGCTGGAGCCCTCGCACTCCTGCACCGCGAAGGCCGTGATGGGGGACCCGTCGACAGAGCGCACCTCGCAGATCCTGCGGAGGGCAGGGGGGAGAAGAAAGAAGGGGTCAGGGACAAAGGGGGCCCATCCAGTCCAGCCTCCAAACACCCCTGAGAAGCTGGGAATACATGTAGACTGCTTCTGGACCTGGAGGCTCCATAAGAACAGAGAAAGAGGCTGGCTCATGTAGGCCAGCATCCTGTTTTCACAGAGACCAACCAGAGGACCATAATAATAATAATAATAATAATTTATACCCCGCTCATCTGGCTGGGTTTCCGCAGCCACACTGGGCAGCTCCCAACCAAACATTAAAATACAATACTTCATCAAACATTTAAAACTTCCCTAAACAGGGCTGCCTTCAGATGTCTTCTAAAAGTCAGATGGTTGCTTATTTCCTCAACATCTGATGGGAGGGCGTTCCACAGGGCAGGCACCACCACCGAGAAGGCCCTCTGCCTGGTTCCCTGTAACTTGGCTTCTCACAGTGAGGGAACCGCCAGAAGGCCCTCGGAGCTGGACCTCAGTGTCTGGGCAGAACGATGGAGGTAGAGACGCTCCTTCAGGTATACTGGGCCGAGGCCGTTTAGGGCTTTCAAGGTCAGCAACAACACTTTGAATTGTGCTCGGAAACGTACTGGGAGCCAACGTAGGTCTTTCAAGACTGGTGTTATGTTGTCTCAGCTGCTCCCAGTCCCCAGTCTGGCTACCACATTCTGGACTAGTTGCAGTTTCCGGGTCACCTTCAAAGGTAACCCCCGTAAAGCGCATTGCAGTAGTCCAAGCGGGAGATAACCAGAGCATGCACCACTCTGGCCAGACAGTCTATGGGCAGGGAGGGTCTCAACCTGCTTACCAGGTATAGCTGGTAGACAGCCGCCCTGGACACAGAATTGACCTGTGCCTCCATGGACAGCTGTGAGTCCAAAATGACTCCCAGTCTGCGCACCTGGTCCTTCAGGGGCACACTTACCCCATTCAGGACCAGGGAGTCCCCCACACCCGCCCACATCCTGTTCCCCCAAAACAGTACTCATGGGATCCCCCAGTCTCATGGGATCTGAGCACGAGTACCCCTCTCCCCTCCTGCGGTTTGCAGCAACAGCGCTTCAGAAGCATCCCTGCCTCCGACCGTGGAGGGCAGAACAGAGCCGTCCTAGCAAGGGGCCCTCGATAGCCCTCTCCTCCTCGGTGAATCTGTCCAGCCCTCTTCCCAAGCCACCCTGCTTGGTCTCTGCCTCCTGGGGGAGGGAGTTCCGCAGGTTATCTCCGCGCTGCTGCTGCACCAAGGAGGGCTTCCCCTGACCCACCTCTTGCCGGTGGAGGAGAGTCGCACGTAGAGCTTGCTGGCGTCTGGCACCACCCTCTGGAGGAAGACTTGCTGGTCGTCCCGCTCCCCAAAGGGGCCTGCAAGAGAGAAGGGAGGGGGGTCACAGGCCTGGCAAGGCAATGGCGGGGAGCTCCCTTGGGGGCCCAACCCTCCCTCCCCCCAGCCAGCCCCCACTTGCCAATGTCAGTGCCGGCGCTGCAGCCCCCGTGCCCGTCCACCGACTCCAGGGCGAGGATCTTGAAGGAGGCCAGCGGAGTGGAGCCGGGCTGCGTGGAGATCATGCCGCGGAAGCGGGTCACGGTCCATGTGCGGACGTGGTTGTTGTCAGCGCAGACTGGGGAGGAGAGAGGAGAGGCGTGGGGGAAGGAGCAGGGGGCGGCAACGTGCAGCCCATGGGCCAGATGTGGTCCACAAAGACCATTTTACTGGCTCCTGAGCTGCCCCCAAACTGAGCCGCCCACTCAGCGAGTCCCCCACGTGCTGTGCTAAACCAGTGCAGGGAGTCGCCGAGCGACGCCTGAAATCACATCTGCACATGCGCAGATACCATCACCACCATCCTTTTAAATTTGTATACCGCCTTTCTATCTTACAATACTCAAGGTGGTATACAAGCTGAAAAAAACAAAAAATGTACATCTAACAATCTAATGCAATACAAAAATGTGATCATAAAACATAACTTTAAAATAGGCAGCCTACATCAAAAAAGTAACATTCAACAATCAATTAGAATAGTATAAAATAAATACATCAACATATAAAAGTTAAACAGAAATCCACTCAACAGTTACAATAATATCTAAACTATAATCAATAAAACAACAGCAAACTACAGTACGTAAAACAATACAATACACATTGAGAAGAGGGTAGAGCAAGGCAGGTGGAAAGAGGCCTTGCCTGATGGAATCTCTCCCCTCAGTTCTTCCTCCAGGACCAGCTCCCTTATGAGGACTCCTAGGGCCGGAGGGGGGGGGCAAGATACCAAAAGTCACATCTGCGCATGTCCAGACGCCATAAATTGCGCCTGCTCAGGCGCAATTTCCGGAGTCTGGGCATGTGCAGAGGCGATTTCCAGCGTTGCACTGCGCTAGTCTGGCCCACGGACAATCTCTGTGGGAATGATCCGGCCCCTGGCCAGCAAACCTTGACAGCCCCTGTTTTAGACCCTTCCATCTGCTTGCCTCTTCCTCTCCTTTTCCCTAAGCTAAGCAGCCACCTTTCCTCCTCCCCTCGACCGTTTCGGCTGCCAGACCCCCCCGGCCACCCTCTCCCCTCCCCGGTACCTGAGATGAGGTGTCTTTCAGAGAGCATCACCTTGGTGACGGGGCTGCGGTGGACGGCAAAGGTCTGGAAGAGCTGGGGCCCCGAGCTGACCGTCTCCGGGTGCTGGACGATGACGCGGACCGTGCCGGAGCTGGTGCCGTAGGCTATCTCTATCCAGTTGCCGCTGTTGCCTGGGAGACACGGAAGCGCCCCCGGGGTCACCCAAACTTCATGGCTCACTGAGGCCCCTGGGTGATGGGGACCTGGAGGGGGATCTCCACCAGGTTGTGCCTGGGGGGCTTTGCTGGATGGAGTGGGGCAGGAGACCCGGGTCCTCTCCGGGACACAATGCAGAGAGGGCTTGGGAGCCTTTAGAGGAACAGCTAAGGGCGCTGGGGATGCTTAGCCAGGGAAAGGGGAGACTGAGAGATGACAGGAGAGCCATCTTCAAATATCTGAAGGGCTGTACACAGAACAAGATTGTATCCTCCATCTCTGGAGGGCAGGACTCGAACCTGGGACGAACAGTATGGTTTGTATGGGCCTAAAGAACACCACAAAATGGATGCCAAGTCTTGGAACTGTCAGGGAACTGTCCATGAACTGTGTTGTAAAAGCGCTAATGGAATGAAGAAGAAGAAGAAGAGTTTGGATTTGATATCCCGCTTTATCACTACCCAAAGGAGTCTCAAAGCGGCTAACATTCTCCTTTCCCTTCCTCCCCCACAACAAACACTCTGTGAGGTGAGTGGGGCTGAGAGACTTCAGAGAAGTGTGACTGGCCCAAGGTCACCCAGCAGCTGCATGTGGAGGAGCGGAGACGCGAACCCGGTTCCCCAGATTACGAGACTACCGCTCTTAACCACTACACCACACTGCGGAAGACATCGTGATGTTTTGGCAAAAACAGTGTGTGCTGGGAACGGTACAAGAACAGCACATACAAGGAGGCATGGAGATGGGCTACACAACATGACCTTTGAGGTAATAATAATAATAATAATAATAATAATAATAATAATTTATTATTTATACCCCGCCCATCTGGCTGAGTCTCCCCAGCCACTCTGGGCGGCTCCCAATCGGGTGTTAAAAACAATACAGCATTAAATATTAAAAACTTCCCTAAACAGGGCTGCCTTCAGATGTCTTTTAAAAATACGATAGCTGCTTATTTCCTTGGGAGGGCATGCCACAGGGCAGGCACCACCACCGAGAAGGCCCTCTGTCTGGTTCCCTGTAACCTCGCAATGAGGGAACGGCCAGAAGGACCTCGGAGCTCGTAAGATAAGAGTTGTGAGATGATGCCAAGGGCAAGGATGTGAGATGCCAAAAGCAAGGAGTAAGGAGTTGCGTAATGCCAAGCATTAGATGAACAATGAGGTGTATACATGGCAAAGCCCTCCAGCCTAAGTTGTGTGCCAGACATTTGACAGCGCTGTCCCCCGTGGCTCTTACTGAACCTGATCAATTCAGAGAAGAGTGAAGAGTGGTGAGTATGAAAGGCGTATGAATGGATGTCTGGTTGAGTCCATATTCCTTGTCTTGACAGGTGAATTACTTATGAATCAATAAAGCAATATTACCACTACTGGTTGTCTGAGGTTGACTTGTGCTTTCCTAGGGTGTACTGGGTCTCATCTACGTTAAAGACCTAAACAGATTAAAAGAACCTAATTGGTCATTACAAACCAACAGATTCAAAAGGCAATAAAGGATATTCCAGAGTCATGGAGCCACAGAATCGCAGAGTTGGAAGGGAACCCCAGGGGCTCCATGGTCCAATCTGACCAAACATTAGGAAGAACTTCCTGACAGCCGGAACTGTTTGGGAAGGGGAGGTGGTGGCCCCTCCTTCCATGGAGGTTTTTAAGCAGAGGTTGGATGGGCACCTGTCATACATGATCCAGCTGAGAATCTTGCATTGCAGGGGGTTGGACTAGATGCCCCCCGGGGAGGGCTACATTGCTGAAGCAAGTAGAGGAGAAGGGGGCAGAAGGGCTAGCTGCTCAGACCCCCCTTGCCCAGCTCTGAAGGCAGAGATGGGGGGGCGGGGAGGAGGAGAAGGAGGAGAGCCCCTTACTGCTCTTGGGCGTCAGGTAGACACTGAGGGCGGTGATGGCATCCTCCGAGGGATCGCGATAGAGCTCCGTCACCAGAAGGTCGTTGTCCTTCATGCGCAGTGGGAACTTCTGCACATCTAAGAGGACAATAATAAAAATGTATTATTTATACCTCACCCATCTGGCTGGGTTTCCCCAGCCACTCTCGGCGGCTTCCAACAAAAAATTAAAAATACATTAAAACATCAGTCATTAAAAACTTCCCTAAACAGGGCTGCCTTCAGGTAATTCCAAAAGTCAGATAGTTGTTAATTTCTTTGACATTGATGGGAGAATGTTCCACAGGGCGGGTGCCGCCACCGAGAAGGCCCTCTGCCTGGTTCCCTGTAACCTCACTTCTCACAATGAGGGAACCGCTAGAAGGCCCTCGGAGTTGGACCTCAGTGTCCGGGCTGAGCAATGGGGGTGGAGACGCTCCTTCAGGTCTACTGGGCCTTTGAGGCTGTTTAGGGCTTTCAAGGTCAGCACCAACACTTTGCATTGTGCCCAGAAACGTCCTGGGAGCCAATGTAGGTCTTTCAAGACCGGTGTTCTGTGGTCTCGGCAGAGAGGAGTTTGGGTGGCCTGTCTGCCTGGCCCTCGCTTTTTCCTCCGCGCAGAAAGCACGGGCTCCCCGTTGGCCCTGGAAAGGGCTGGAGGAGACCTCCGGGCCAAGGAGCCCCCTCCCCATCACTCACCTACATAGTAGATGGATCCGTTGTTGCACCCCAGGAGCAAGAAGGAGCCGGCTGCGTCGTAGCTGTTGATGGGGACCATGTCCTGAGTCTGTGGGGGCCGGAGGGAGGGGGAGAGCGGTCAGAAAAAGATCTGGGAGGCGAACAGGCGGCAGGCGGCCAGCTCATAGCCCTCTCCAAGTATCTGAAGGGCTTGTTTCTTGCTCCCCCAGGGGCAGGACCTGAACCAATGGCTTCCAGTTGCAAGAAAGGAGTTTCAGACTAAATCTTAGGACAAACTTTGGGAAGATCCATTGGACAGTGGGACGGACAAGCTGGGAAGGGGACGGGCTTGAAACAGAGGTTGAGTGGCCCTCTGTCGTGGGTGTTCTAGCTGCAATCCTTGCATTGCAGAGGGCTGGGCTGGGTGGCCCTCGGCTCCCTTTCCACTCTACAATTCTCTGATGCTGTTTTGAGGACAGCAAATGGGAAGCCAGAGGAGGCCGGCCGCAATGATGCACCTGTGAGGCTGTGGATGAGGTGAGGGAAATGTGGGATGTGATCCATGAGAGGCAGTCAAGTACAACATTCCTTGTAATGCGAGAGAAGACATGCGAGGGAATGTTTGGTTCTGCCAGTCAAAACTTCCTGTTCCTCCTGGCTGGAGCATCCTTCCTTTACATGTGACTAGAGGTGCGCGTGACCTCACCTGTCCAGGCAACAAAAGGACAAGTCACGCAGCACCCTTCCTTCTTCTTGACTTCCTTCTTTGTTTGACCAGCTTCTAGCTAGGACTGCTCTGCTGGCTCTCAGCTAGCAGAAGCACTGGGATTATTCCCCTATATGGCACAGATCCACATGTACAGATTTGTAACTAATATTGCCTTCAGGGATCCAACTGTGAACTGATGTGAGTAAACTTCTCTTATTGACTTTGAATAAGATTGTGGCATCTTTATTCTTTTAAGAGGGATTCAAGGGAACTTACCAGGAACGTGCAATTCAATCTGAGACAGACTGAATTGTATAATAGTGAGAGGCTCACACGAGCCTGCAACCGGCTATCTGCTGTGCATGTAAAAAGGGGAATGTAACTCTGCTAAGTAAAGAAACTTGCTAGCGCAAGTTAGAAAGGATATTAATAAACAATATATCCTCTCCTGCTACCTTGAACATTCCCACAGGAGAAGCCATGGGAAACAATTCACAAAATAAATATATCAATAGACACTTTGGGGGGGGAAAGACTTGACCTGCTTAGGGTCATCCCAGAAACTGCACATGGTACTCAAGAGGAGCCGAGACCCCGAGACCCCCCCCCACCTACCACCTTTTTCTCCCCTGACCAGATGCTGCCGACAAGCTCTGGAGGCGGCTTCCAGAAGAAGACGTCTGCAGCCGCAGCCCCTGCCACCCTTCACCCAGAGACCGGGCGCTGGACCGCCTGCCCACCTGCCAGTGTTTGGTGACTGCGTTCCAGACGCCAATCTTCCCTGTGTGGCTGGTGGCGATGAGCTGGCTGCCCACGAAGAACAGACCCTCCACGGGGACTCCTAGGTGGAAGACACCTAGAGGGAGAGAGAGAGAGTCCGAGGAACATTCCCATTGGATCAGACCAGGAGAAGAGGGCCAAAGGGGAAGTCCAAAAGTGGGGCATGAAAGGCACAAGGGGGGCCTCCCCCCAACCTCCAGAGGCAGGAGGGGTAGCCTTTGGGGCACCAGCAGACCCGCCCAGCCCCCTTTTAAAGGTCTCACGGGAGATCAGTGTTTGTGGGATGTGAAGCAACACAGAGAGGCACTGCAAGAAAGGAAATTTCGAAGAGCCAGGGTTTCCTTTCCTCGCATGTACCAATGAGAGGACGAACACCTTCCTGATGCCCACTCCCCAGGCAAAACTGAGGATAAATCAAACAGAAACCTTTATCCATCTACTTAAAATATATACTCTTATGAAACTGCAGGTTATTACAATAATCCTGCCAATGTTCTGGTCTGTTTACAATTTATCTGTCTATATTTCCATAAAATTTACAGCATGTTATGCTCTAAATGAAGATGATATTAAAATGATATATCGCTATCCAGCCTTGGAGGGGGGAGACATCTAATCCAGCTGCTAGACCCAGCCAGGACTGGGAGCTCACTGGGCTTGGGGCTGGGAAAATGCCAGGGGGCAGCAGGGCTGGGGGGCTGAAACTCCCCGAGGCTGGACCTAAGTGCCCATCGGAGGGGCCACTCCACTTGGCCCTGGGCAGTGCCTGTGAGCTCCCCCAACTGGAGGCTGCCTGTTCCCGCTGCCAGGCCTCACCAATCTCTGTGCCGTTCCCGTCGGGCTGCAGAGCCCAGAGGAGGATCTCGCTGCAGGAGGCGGCCGCCACCATCTTGTCGCTGTCCCCCAGGGAGCCCCCCAGCACCCGGGCGTTCAGCGCCAACCGCTCAATGACCCAGTCCAGCCGGGGGCTGCAGAAAGCCAGCTGCCAGCCAGACGTCTCTTTCATCCTAGGGGACAGAGAGAGCAGTCAGGAAGCGGGGTGGGGGGGGGCCTGGGAAGGAGGGCGCTCTTGGACCCAGAGCATCCCGCTGAACCCCTGGGCTGGGGAGGCCCAAGAGAGGGGTCAGCAAACTTTTCCAGCATGGGGCGGTCCACTGTCCCTCAGACCTTGTGGGGGCCTGGACTACATTTTGGGGGGGAAATGAACAAATTCCTATGCCCCACAAATAACCCAGAGATGTGTTTTAAATAAAAGGGCACATTCTACTCAAGTAAAAACACGCTGATACCCGGACCGTCCGTGGGCCGGAATGAGAAGGCGATTGGGCTGGATCTGACCCCCCGGCCTTAGTTTGCCTCCCCATGCCCCAGAGGGCCACTCACCGGTAGCAGACGAAGAACTGAGCAAAGGCCACCGCAATCCAGTTGTGGTGCCCACACACCAGACGCACCACGCCAGGGTCACCCGTCCCTCCTGGAGGAAAGAGGTGGACACAAAGAGAGACGCTGAGCAAGGCCCCTCCCCTTCCTGGCTGTTCCCCTGTGGGACATCCCCCTTCTGGCACCCGGGGCCAGTGGAAAAGGGGAACTGGGATCACCACAGGCCAGCTCCCCAGCCTCGCCTGGTCAGATCCCAGGGGATAAATATGCCCCATTTGGGATGCATGTGGGATGTGACACATAAGTAGCAGTCAAGTACAACATTCCTTGTTTTCCTAGAGTGGACATGCAAGGGGATGTTTGGTCCAGCCAGTCAAAAACCTCCTGTTTCCTCCTGGCTGGGACATACTTCCTTTGCATGTGACTAGAGGTGGGTGTGACCTTACCTGTCCAGGTAACAAAAGGACAAGGCACGCAGCACACTCTCTCTTTTTGACTTCCTTCATCGTTGGAACAGTTTTTTAGCTAGAGATGCTCTGTTAGCTTCCAGCCAACAGAGGACACTGGGATTATCCCCATATGGGATAGATCAACACGTATATACTTTGTAGAGTTTGGAGAAGAGTTTGGATTTGATATTCCACTTTATCAGTACCCTAAGGAGTCTCAAAGCGGCTCACAATCTCCTTTCCCTTCCTCGCCCACAACAAACACTCTGTGAGGGGAGTGAGGCTGAGAGACTTCAGAAAAGTGTGACCGGCCCAAGGTCACGCAGCAGCTGCATGTGGAGGAGCAGAGACACGAACCCGGTTCCCCAGATTACGAGTCTACCGCTCTTTACCACTATACCACGCTGCCCCCCACAGGACCACGCCACCCACTCAGGGAACCACTGACCCCGAAAGTGGGAACATGGGAGGTGTGCAGTTCCCTGGTTGTTGCCCCCGTTTGACAGCAGAGAGGGTGGGGCAAGGGAGACCCCCCCCCCAGCATCTGAGACCCAGACCCAAACTCCCTCCTGCTGGCAGCCCCTGCCCCTTCTTCCCCCATCTCCCCGGAGTGGCACGTACCTGTGGCTGAGGCCCTCTCCTCCAGCAGCCGCCCCAGGAGCCCTGCGTTCCCCAGGTTGGGAGGCATGGTGTTGCTCCGGCGCACCAGGCCCCGCTCCGAGATGTTCGCCGCGCGGGCCGCCAGCTGTGCTCCCGTGACGCTGTGGCGGTTCCTCCGTTTGGCAGGGAAGACTGGGAAGGAGAGGAGGGGTGAGGATGGCTGAGCAAGAGGGCAAAGTGGAGGAGAGGCAGAGCCAGCCCAGCCTTCGTCATGGGCACCGGGACCTCCACCCCCAGCCCAAATTACCGCAGCACGAGGGAGGTCTGGCCAGCATATCCCGCCTTTGGTGCTCAGAGGTCAGCGCTGGTTGCCCATTTGCCACGGGCTGCTCAAGGCATTAGTATTAGTATGCAAAGCCCTTAACCACTTAGGACAAGTTTACCTGCAGGACCTCCTCACCCCTCTTGTGCCCACCTGACCACTTAAACTGGCAGAACTAGCACCACTTACAGGTGCCACATAATCCCTGTTCCGTGTTTATAAGAAATCAATCTTTTAGTCTGGCAGCACCTGCACTTTGGAACTCCCTGCCCCTTGACGTCAGGCAGACACTCTTTCGGGCACTTGCTAAAATCATTCGCTGTTTAGACAAGCCTGCCCAGGCGCTTAGAAAGTCCATGCAAGTTTTAATCTGCTTAGTATATTTTAAAGCAGGCAGGTCCAACAGGTAGATCGTGATCTACTGACAGATCACTGGACGTCTGTGATAGATCACTGGCTCTCCCCCCAAAGAAGCTCACTGCCAGTTTTTAATTTTGTGAGTAGGTCGCAGTCTCTTGGGAGTTGGCCAAGTATTGTAGATTTTGCCTGATAACATTGTTTTATCCTTTGATAAACTGCTTTGAGGGTTACTGATCAATCAAGTGGTGTGCAAATTTTATGGAATAAATAAGTAAACCCAAAGTCCTGCAAAGCCCCCCCTCCCTTCCCCAGGTGTGCCCTGCCTCCTACCTGGTGGCGGCAGGTAGCCATTGAAAAGGACACTCCCGCAGGATGAGCGCTCCAGCTCCTCACGTAACTGCAGGCGGCGCACTAGACACAAGGGAAGCAAGGAAGAGGATCAGATCAGCCCACCGTGGCCTTTGACCCTGGGGGGCACTGAGGCCCCTCGCCCACCCAGCCCTGCTGCCTCTCTGGAGGTGGGTCAGAGTGCAGCGGGGGGGGGGGGGGCTGGACCAGAAAATTAAAGCAGGGAGAGCAGAGACAAATCACCAAAGCACCAAGTATTTGGGACCACAACATGGTGCAAGCCCCACCCACCCCCAAAATCCAGACTTTGCAAAAACAACCACAAACCATGTGCTGCCAAGGCAAGTCGGATGCCCCTTTGTGCATACCTAGTGGCGTGATCCCGTAGAACTGCGCTTCGTGCAGGAGCAGTGACACGTTGGTCCTCCTGGGGGCACAAAGAGAAAGGTCACCAGGGAGCCTCATCCCCCCAGGTTTGCATGGAAGACACCCACCCCATCCGCCAAAAAGGCCAGAGGGAAAGTGAGGGCTAGGAAGAAAGGTTGAAGCATTCGGAATTTTTTGTTTAGAGAATTGACAAGAAAGAGGTGGCATGACAGAGGCTTATAAGATTAGGCATGGCCTGGAAGAAGTGGGGACAGAGAAGTTGTTCTCCATCTCTCCTAACTCTAGAACTCTTGGAGATGCAGTGAAGCTGAAGGCTGGGAGTTTCAGGACAGAGAAAACGAAGTCCTACTTGACGCAGCAGAGTTAAACTGCGGAACTGATGGCCACCAGCCTGGAAGGCTTAACAAGAGGACTGGACAAATTCACGGAGGAGGAGAGGGCTCAGATTTCACTTGTGGGTTTCCCCGGCATCTGTGTTCAGTATCATTTGTCACGAAGGATAAGGGTGCAGATAACTTTAAGGACTTTTTCTATGAGTTCTGGGTGTGGTTTTCCGGCTAATTAGGCACAGCTGGTGATGTGAATGAAGAGAGAAGTTGCAGTTTGCAACTGCCTGAGAAAGAGAACATCTACATCCTTTGTGTTTGTTATTTGTATAGCCGTAATAAAACTCTTGTTTGAGTATTTTACATCAGTCTCGTGGTTCTGTCGTCTGCCACCAGGGAAAATTCGCCTCCAATAATCTGGTCAGCCACTGTGAGAAAAGGATGCTGGACCTGATCCGGCACAACCTGCCTCCCAAGGAATCTCAAAAGAAAGTGCTGGAACAGCAGAGCACGACACAGACCCCCCTCCAGCCCCCGGCTCCATGCCCAGCCTAGAGAGGCTGCTGAGGTCTTCCTACCGTACCTGATGTCAAGCTCTTTGGTCCGGAGGAAGTTGAGGATGGGGGCAAAGATATCGGGGTCTCGGTCGATGAAGATCTAGGAGGAAAGAGACAGGGGGGTGTTTGGCTGCAGAGTTGCACCAAGGTAGCTTGCAGTGTGTCCCAAAAAGACCGAGCCAAGGGATTCTCCTGCCATGCAATACGACTGCAGCCCTGGGAAGAGAAGCTGCTCACAGAGTCTGATGTGAGAAGGGGGATGAAGGCCAGAGTAGCAGACAGAAAAACACAGTTTGTGTGCTGAAAAGGGGGGGGGGGCACCATCCCAGCTGCCATTGAGGCCTGCTGCCAAAGTCAGCTTATAATTTATGTATTTATTTCATAACATTTATATACCAATGGATTGTCAAAAGAACCTCAAAGTAGTTTTCCAAAAAATAAAATAATAAAAGCATCACTGAGAAAAATGAGCAGCAATCATTTAAGACATTCAAAAAGTTAAAACTAACAATAGACTAAATTAATAAAAAAGTCCACTAGCACCTTAGAGACCAACTAAGGTGCTACTGGACATTTATTTATTTATTTATTTTATTTATTTCGACTGTGTCAGACCAACACGGCTACCTATCTGAATCTAACAACAGACTAAAAACAGATCAAAACTCACATGAACTTTCTAAGCAACTGAACAGGCTGGTCTAAACAAAAATGTTTTTAGCAGGTGCCAAAAAGACAATCATCATGCTTGCCTGATGTCAATAGGCAGGGAGTTCCAAAGTGTTGCCACACTAAAAGACTGAGTTCTGTAGTAGTGCCAAGTCCACCAATCAAAACTTCATTATGCTTGCATCCGTCTTGAGAAATGCTCCACAGGAACGGAGCCCAGAGAAGCTCTTGGGGAAGAAGTCTCATTCTCCCCATTTAGGCAGATGTGATTCTGCAGATGTGCCGGGTGTTCATTTCACTTAATTCCTCACAGCACGGACAGTTTGGACATGGGGCCTCCAAACATTGGGAAGATCTTTCTGACGGCAAGAGACATTTGGCAGAGGGACAGACTCCCTGGGAAGGTGGCAGACTCTCCTTCCTTGGAGGTTTTTAAACAGAAGCTGGACGGCTACCCATCAGAGATGATTTAGCTGCTACTCCTGCACTGCAGGGGGCTGAACGAGATGACCCTTTGGGGTCCCTTCCACCTTTAAAATTCTCTATTGGACTCCAGCTCCCACCAGCCGCTCGCTAGGGGGGTCAGGGATGATGGGAGCTGCAGTCCAAGAGGGCACCAGGTTATCTACCCCTCCTGCCACCCTCTGTGCCACCCTCATCCCGCTCTCCAGGAACAGGGCAAGGAAAAGGATCTCAGAGCCACTCACCGCCCCCGTTTCATCCTTCAAGGTGGAGATCCGTCCGCTGAGGAGGCTGCAAGTCAAACGGATGCAGGTGAGGCTGCTGCTGAATCAGGGCAAGCGAGGCTGGAGAGGCAGAGCCACCCTGAAGGCCTGCGCTCAAGGTGGCCCAGGCAGACGAGTCAGGCTGGCTTCCCCTGTCGCCACGGAACATGTGGCCTCTCCTCCCCCCATGGAGACCCACGGCTGTTCAGAGGCAGCTCTGCAGGCAACCCTGCAGGAAATGGGGCTCTTGGGGGCTGAGCATCCTGAGCCTCCTCCCAGCAACAACCCTCAGGGGGAGGCTGCTTGGCGCGCCCCCCGAAATTCTTGACGAGGCCTCCAAGTCCAGGGGAGAGATGCCCTGCAGCCCAGCCAGCATTCCCTGGGCAGGGGGTCCCAGGGCTTCCCCCTTCCTCGAGGACCAAATCGGATGGGGCTACTTGGACTACTGCCATGTGCTCTACGTGGGGCTACACAAACACACACATCACGCAAGAGGACAAGAAATACCTGCAATGGGGCTACACCTTAATTTATTAGTTTTTAAGTAATACCTGTGACCCATCCTTCTGACCCCTGATGCTGAAGACAGGCAGCCTCCAACAACAGGTGTGGGGGACAGCCTGGTCCTGAATGGGGCAACTGTGTCCTGAAGGAGCAGGTGCGCAGAGTCATTCTGGACTCGCAGCTGTCCATGGAGGTGCAGGTCCATTCTGTGTCCAGGGCAGCTGTCTAGCAGCTCCATCTGGTACACAGGATGAGACCCTCCCTGCCCGCAGACTGTCTCACCAGAGTGGTGCATGCTCTCGTTATCTCCCGCTTGGACTACTGCCATGCGCTCTCTGTGGGGCTCCCTTTGAAGGTGACCCGGAAACTACAACTAATCCAGAATGCGGCAGCTAGACTGGTGACTGGGAGCAGCTGCCAAGACCACATAACACCGGTCTTGAAAGACCTACATTGGCTCCCAGGATGTTTCCAAGCACAATTCAAAGTGTTGGTGCTGACCTTGAAAGCCCTAAACAGCCTCGGTCCAGTAGACCTGAAGGAGCGTCTCCACCCCCATCATTCAGCCCGGACACCAAGGTCCAGCTCCAAGGGCCTTCTGGTGGTTCCCTCCCTTCAAGAAGCCAAGTTACAGGGAACCAGGCAGAGGGCCTTCTCGGTGGTGGCGCCTGCCCTGTGGAACACCCTCCCACCAGATGTCAAAGAGAACAACTACTACCAGACTTTTAGAAGACATGTTTAGGGAAGTTTTTAATGACTGATGTTTTATTCTATTTTTAATCTGTTGGGTGCTTCCAAGAGTGGCTGGGGAAACCCAGCTGGATGGGCGGGGTATTAATAATAATAATAATAATAATAATAATAAATAATACCCTGCCCATTTGGCTGGGTTTCCCCAGCCACTCTTATAATTAGGGGTGTAAATGCTCGAAGACGACCGAAGGGGCTCTTCTCCCCCCCTCCCCCTCCCCCCCCCGGGCACCTGGAAAAGAAGGAATCCGGGATCCAGGTGAGGGTCTGGCGGGAGGTGCTGAACCTGCAGAGAAAGGAGGAGGGGCCGTGAGCGCAGGCCGGGCAGAAGGTCCCCGCCCCCCCCCCGGCCCCCAAGGAAAGCGGCTGCGGGTCCGCGCGGGGCCCTGAGGACTAGCGCCTTGGCCCTCAAGGGGGCGTGGCCAGGCGTCTCCATGGCGACGCCGACCCCCCCCCCGCACTCGCCTCCGGCCGCCCACGTTCAGCTGCACGAGCTCCGCCCCGCCGCCCGCTCCCCTCGCCGCCGCCGCCGCCGCCATCGCCCCTCGCCGCCGCCGCGACCGGCTCCTTCCGGGCTCAGGGCCGCTTCCGCGCGCTGCTCCGCCTCCGCCGCGACGCCATTGGACGCAGGGCGGCTCCAGTCCCGCCTCCCGCCGCAGAGGCCCCGCCCTCCTCCAGAACCTCTTGGCCGGACCGCCTCCTCGCCGCCGCATTGGCTCCCTGTGGCGGGGGAGCCCGCCCTCCCTCTCTCGCCATTGGCCACGCGCGGACAAGCGGTTGGGTGAGGTTCCTCGGGGCGGGGCCCTTGCCGTAAACAAACGGCGGTCGCCTCCGCTGATAGGCCCGGCTCGCTATTGGCCGCCTCGCCTGGGGCGTCTTTGGCTTCGATTGGGCATCGGGCTCGAGCGCCCGCCTGCTCTGCGTCTCCATTGGGCCGGGAAGACAGAATAAGGGCAGGTTTGGTTTGGCTGTTAATTGAGTTTGTAAGCCGTCGGGAGACAAAATGCCTGGATCCTCCAATTCCCAGTAGACATGCAGGAGAGGCCAGGGAAAAGAAGAAGAATAGTTGTAATGGTTGATTGATTAATAATAATAATAATAATAAGAATAAGAATAATATATTTCTGCCCCGCCCACCTGGCTGGGATTCCTCCTCCGCACTCTCGGAAGAGCCTCGCAGATCCTCCACCTGGAGAGGAGGCGGGGGGAGCAGACTCACCTGGAGCACGTGACTCCCACCCCCCAAAAGAACCGCGGGAGCTGTAGTGGAATCAGGGTGCTGGGAATTGTAGCTCTTGTTACGAAAATTACAGCCCCCCCCACAGCTTTAAAGTTGTTACGATGTTACAAATATTATGCCTGAATGTATCCTTTCAACTTGACAGCTCAGGGAAGATACCTAGCTTTATAAATTTGTAGAAAATCCATATTTTAACCGACTCTCCTCATTCCAACGCCATTTGGTCCTTAAAGAAAGGTGAATTTGGGCTCCACCTCCGTCCATGAACCAAGAAGCGGGAAGTCACTGTAGGCAGCAGGAACAGGGCATCCCGCCATAATTCCCCAAGCATGAGAGCACAGGCAGGGCCCCCCACCCAGGAAGTGACCAAGGGGGCAACAATAGACAGTTGAGCAAGTCAGGTGTTCTGAAAGCCCATCTCCAGCCAAGTCCTGAGGGCAAGGAGATGTCAAGAGTTTCATTGTCCTTTCAGTGATGGGGACTTAAGAGGTTGAGAAAGGTGTCTGATAAGGGGACCTCATGTTGAACTGGTATAACCCTTGTATGTTGTTGTTGTTGTTGTCGTTTAGCCGTGTCCGCCTCTTCGTGACCCCCTGGACCAGAGCACGCCAGGCCCTCCCGTCTTCCACTGCCTCCCGCAGTTTGGTCAAACTCATGCTGGTAGCTTCGAAAACACTGTCCAACCATCCCGTCCTCTGTATACCCTTGTATACAGGTATACTAGCATTTGTGACATGCTAGTGATGTAGTAATGATGTATCAATGATGCCCCTCAAAGTGTATTCTGGGGGAAAGAGGGAAGGTTTAAAAGAGGATGTCCCTCCATGCTCAGGGTTCCTTACTCCCATGGGGACTAGTTGCGCAACAATAAAGATCATGGTCTACTGCATGGGTAGGCAAACTAAGGCCTGGGGGCCGGATCAGGCCCAATCACCTTCTAAATCCGGCCCATGGACGTTCCAGGAATCAGTGTGTTTTTACATGAGTAGAATGTGTCCTTTTATTTAAAATGCATATCTGGGTTATTTGTGGGGCATAGAAATTGGTTCATTTTTATTTTTCAAAATATAGTCCGGCCCCCCACAAGGTCTGAGGAACAGTGGACCAGCACCCTGCTGAAAAGGTTTGCTGACCCCTGGTCTACTGACTCCTGTTTTGCTCCAAATTACTTGGCTGGAACTTCCTTCTTTTACTGACCTCATGGACCTGCGGGGGACTTGCACCCTGACGAGCTGGGCTGTTGAGTAGGCTCTCCCCCCAAAATGTTTTCCCTTTAACAGGCAGGAGGAGCAGGAGAGGCCAGGGAGAGCCTAGCAGATCCTCCACCTGGAGAGTATGGGGGGGGGGAGCAGACTCATTTGGTGCACGACTCCCCACCCCCAAAAGAACCGTGGGAGCTGTAGTTGAATCAGGATGCTGGGAATTGTAGCTCTGAAACTACAGTTCCCCCCAATCCTGAATGCCAGTTTCAGGAGGGTGGGTGGGTTGCTTCAGGCTTAGACCACATGCCTATAACAAGCTTTTATCATGCTGATAATTTAGAAACTTTCACCACTGCAACTAAACCAAATTTCACTGCCTGTGTTTTATGACCAATGGGAAAGCACATGAATCAGACCTTTGGAGAGTTTGTAAGTAAACAATTATTAACTCACTAAATGTGTGGTGTTTTTCTATGCTGTGGAAGAGGGGAACTTTGGAAGGAACTCACAGGGGCATCTCTTAAAGGTCTAACAGCCGATATTTCAACACTTTACCTTGCTGCATGCTTTGTGATTTTAAATCTTTGCCGGGGTTCTCCCACCAAAGGGGACTTGCTCCAAACTTTGATCTTGCAATCCAGGAATTCTCCTTTGACATACCCACTTCTTCCTTGCCACCAACAGATGGACCAACGGTCAGACTTGGTAAAAGGCAGATTCCTATGTCAAGAACGTAAGCAGAACCTGCCGGATCAGGCCAGTGGCCCATGTGGCCAACATCCTGTCCTCCCCATGGCCAAGCACATGTCCAGAATGGGAAGCCCACAAGCACGACCCAGACACCAGAACCTTCTCCCCTCCCCTGGTTTCCAGCAACTGGCATTTAGAAACATTCCTGCCTCCATGAATTTGTCCAATGCTCTTTTAAAGGACCTAGCAAGAAAGAGGCCTGGCAACATAGCGGAGAGGGGCACCCAGAAAATGCAGAGCAATAGCAAGGGATCGAGTCTAGCACAGAGTGTGGGATGTGATATGTAAGTAGCAGTCAAGTACAACATTCCTTGTTTTCCTAGAGTGGACATGCGAGGGGATGTTTGAGCCAGCCAGTTGAAAACTTCCTGTTTCCTCCTGGCCTGGAGCATCCTTCCTCTTGCATGTGACTAGAGGTGGGCGTGACCTTACCTGTCCAGGTAACAAAAGGACAAAGGCATGCTGCCACTCTCTTTGACTTCCTCCATCGTTGGAGCAGCTTTTAGCTAGATGTGCTCTAGCCAACAGAGGACACTGGGATTATCCCCATATGGGATAGATCCACATGTATATCCTTTGTAACTAAGTCTGCCTTCAGGGATCCAACTGTGAACTGATGATGTGAGTAAACGTCTTTTATTGACTTTAAACAAGATTGTGGCGTGTTTATTCTTTTAAGAGGGATATAAGGGGACTTACCAGGAACCTAATAGTGAGAGGCTTACACAAGCCTGCAACCAGCTATCCACTCTGCTTTTAAAAGGGGAATGTGAAACTCTGCTAAGGAACTTGCTAGCACAAGGTAGGAAGGATATTAATAAACAATGTACCCTCTCCTGCCTCCCTGAACATTCCCACACGGTGGGGGCTGGACTACAACCTTAATCCACTTCAGGGAGCCTAGCCAATGGGCGTTATAGTCCCAACCACAGGTAGAGGGCCACTGGGTCCCCATGCCTGTTCTGCCTCCGCTAGCACACTGCCATGGAAGCCTGGCAAAGAAAGGGGACCCCAAAAGACAGGTTTGGTTGCAGCCAAGGTCTAGGACCACTCCATTCCCCTTTATTGGACACCAAGGTGGCACAGCTCATGCTTTCCCCACTGGTCAAGGCCATGGAATGACCAGGATCTGCCCGGGAGCAGAAAGAAAGCTACTAATCTCTGTGCAACTGAACATGGGTGGAGAAGTCTGAGCAGCGGACACCTGCAGCCACGTTGGAAGAACACCCATTGTGGTGCGTGGGGGATTCGTGGCTTCTCGAGACTGGACGTGGTGGGGACCCACACGACGAGGCAGCAAGCAAGTTGATCGCTGGATCTCATGCAACCAAGATCTAAGCTCTTTTACAAATTGGTCTCTGTTTGAAAAACACAGTTCTTCAGAAAGATTTACAGCCAAACAAAATGAGAGAATGCAAAACCCCAAATGCTCCAGTTTTTTGGCGGTTCTTTTTCTATACAAGACAAAGAAAAAAAAACTTATTTAAAGCAATTACAATATCTTACAGGCTTCTGAACGGTTAGGGGAGGCCGAGGGGGTTGCGGAAGCGTCAACAGATAAAAGTGCACCAGCTCCAGGAGAGGCACCGTGGAGACACACCCGGGGCGAGGGAGGCCGGATCGGGCCCATCTCAGGCTGGAAACGTTACAAGATTGGGAAAAGCTGCCCCAGAACGGTCTGTTCACAGGCACGGCGATTAATCTGAGCTCCACCAGGCCTTGGCTATGAGCACGCCAGCCCCGGACGGATCAAGCATGCGGCTGGACGTGGGGCAGGGAGCATCTTGAGACCAAGTCCTGGGGCTGAGAGATGTTTGGGGACGGCTGCCAGCTGCGCTTGGGACTGTCTTCCTCTGGACAAGGGTCATGTTTTAAAGTTTGGGTTTTCAAATCTCCAAGGTCACCAATCATTGCAGCTCAGAGGATAGAATCATAGAGCTGGGAGGGACCCAAGGTGTCCCCAACCCCCTGAAGAATGTGCAAAGCACAGCCCCCAATCTATGCCCCTGGGCTGGCAAGAGCATCCCCATTCCCCAGCTGGTGTCAAAGCTCGGGCTGCAAATGGAGGCGGGTATTGACCTGTAGGAAGGCGTTTCACACTGGGAGGGAGATCTTAAGGGGTCGCTGGCCGTCCTGGGAATGGGACACACTGGGCAGGAAGGCCATAGGTCAGTGGTTAAGCATCTGCTTTGGATACAGAGAGCCTGTCTGAAATCTCAAGAGAGCCACGGTCAGTATCCAAAATACGGATGGAGCTAGCTGGACCAGGGGAACGACTTCAGCATCTCCCTGAGCTCCCAGGGGTAAAGGATAGGAGCTGCTGACCCTAACCTGCCCCCCCCAGAGCTGCACAGCTGGCTTCCAGGACAGATGTTGCCTTTCCGTTTCCTCTCTGCACTGAATAGGAAAAAGAGCTGGAAACCAGGGAGGTGGACTTGAAATCAAGGGGGACAAACAAGGGTCGGAGGGGGGGGGTCAACATCCAGCTTGAAAAACTCTCGCCAGGACCGCACCAGCCTCTGCAGTGTAAAGACCCACAGAAACCTCCCTTCCCTCTCTGGCTGACCTCATCATAGGGAACCCAGGGGTCATCTGGTCCAACCCCTGGCAAGGCAGGAATTGCAAGATAAAGGATCCGAGACGGTCTCTACTCTCTGAGGGCGCAGGCAAAGCTGATGTGCTGTTCTGGGGCAGAGGCTGCCTGTTGGAGGCCTCTTGGGGCCTCCGCTCTGGCTGGGGACCAGCTCTCCTCCCCCCCCCCCCGCACCTCCTGGGGCCGTCTCCAGGTGCAGTTCCTGACTCTGCTGTTTATTGCATAAAAGCACACCTCCGTCGTGCCATGACGGGGGAGCCCCCTCCCCGAGGTGCCCCTCCCCAATAGCAGAAGTCGTGATGGCAAGGGATATGGCTTGTTAAGAGCAGTGCCAAAGCGGTGCCCACGGGCTCCCCCCCCCCTTGTGCTGCTGACGTGAGTTTGTGCTCCGAAGTCCGGGCGCCGTTTGCGCCTCCTTTGCGGGCCCCTCCTTGGAAGCTGGAGCCTGTTCTGTCTTGGATGCCCCCCCCCCAGCCCCAGAGATAAGGCAGCGGGAGAGGCAGAGCCCCAGGCTGCTTTGGAAAAGGGGGGAGCAGGCAGCCTCCCCCCTCGGCCCCTTCAGAGAGGGACGCAGAGGAGGTTTCTGTCCAGAGGGCATCGAAAGGGCGCTCAGAGAAAGGCGCAAAGGCAACTAAGGGGCAGATGGCTTCGCGAGGGAGATGGGAGCAGAGCCAGACACAGATGGGAAACTGGCCAGGGGCCGACACACACACACACAGCACCCCAGACGAGACGTTTTTCCGGGTGGGGGCAGGGGAGCGGCGTGGGGTCGTCTCTGGACTTGAGTAATGCGTCAAATGCAGTTCCTAGGAGTCTGATTGCTGACAAAGCAGGCGACGAGGCGGATGCAGGCAGGGGGGGTCTGGAGCGATGCCCCCGCAACCACCCCCCCAACTCTCACAAAAAACTGCCCCCACTAGAGCAAGTTTTGTTGCTGATCGGAAGACAAGAAACTGGAAGGAGAAATTCTTGCAGAGAAAGCAGAAACAGCCAGTCCCCACCTTTGACACACCTCCCTTGAGGGCCGTTGTCAAGCAGTCACTTTGAGCTCCCCGGGAGGGATGGGGGGGCAAGCTGCCTCTCCCCACTGGTGGCAGCAAGGGGGGGGCAGCCCTGCACAACACCCCCACACACACACTACTCTGGCGCGTGGCCCTCGCCTGGCCTGCCTCTGCTTCTGCCTGGTACGGGTCCCCTTTGAAGGACTCTGCAGACATTTTGGAGCATGGGTGGGGTGGGGAATATGAAAAGGGGGGGGGGGGTCCCTGGACACAGATTGGACAAAAGCAGAAGATGTGACTCCGTGGTTGACGGGGGCGCTGTTTGTTCCTGGGCACCAGCCATGGGAAAGCAGAGCAGCCTCCCGGGCCCCGCGCATCCGCCAGGGTCCCTTGGCTGCCTCTTGGCAGGAGCGAGGGTGGCAGGCTCTGGGGACCCTCTGGGGCACCAGCTCCCCCCCTCTGCGCTGGTGGAGCCTCACCCCCCAGCAATTCACTGTCTCTACAGTCTTGGCTGGTTCAGCAGATACAGAGGGAGCAGGCACCCCCCCCCGGGGCCCCTGGAGTGCCTTGGCGCCTGGCTGTGGCCCTCCCCAAAGACCCCCAGAGTCTGCCCCAGGAAGCTCTCCTCCTCGCGTAGGCCGAGGGCCACGGGGACCGTGGGCCCAGAGCGTCCGGCGGCGCCTCCGTCTCCGGGGGTTCCTCACAGCAGCCTCACGGCCCTGCGGCCAGAGGGGCAGCCTCATTTCTTGCGGCCCGAGGTACTGGCCCTGCGGTCAGCGTCCCGATGTTTGGGGTTGCCCTCGTCGGTCGAGGAGGTGGTCAGCAAGGCCTGGCTCCAGCGGGCGATCTCCGCGTGCTCCGCGATGGAGGCGGTGAGGGCCTCTAGCCAGGTCTTCAGCTCCTCCTGCGGGAAGGAAGGAAGGAAGAGGGTTAAGGCCAACAAAACTTGCTAAAATGTATAAGGTGAAAAATAAGAAATGTTGGAAATTTAAAGAAAAAGACGGAAATTTCTTTCATATGTGGTGGACTTGCAGTAAAGTACAAACCTTCTGGGCTCCGATATACAGTGGATGCTCAGGTTGGGAATGTGATCCGTGTGGGATGCACGTTAGCAACCCGCAGCGTTTGCAACCTGAGTCTGCGCACGTGCAGGTTGCGATTCAGCACTTCTGCGCATAGCGCAATTTAGCACTTCTGTGCATGCACGACCACCAAAACCCGGAAGTAACCCGTTCCGTTACTTCTGGGTTTCGACTGTCCGTAACCCAAAAAAACGCAACCTGAAGCGGCTGTAACCCGAGGTATGACTGTATACAGGGGTACCTTGGTTTGCATACGTTTTGGATTACAAACACATCAACCCCGGAAGTGTGTTTCCTGGTTTGCAACTTTTTTTGGATTAAAGGTAAAGGTAAAGAGACCCCTGACCATTAGGTCCAGTCGTGACTGACTCTGGGGTTGCGGCGCTCATCTCGCTTTACTGGCCGAGGGAGCCGGCGTACAGCTTCTGTGGCCAGCATGACTAAGCCGCTTCTGGCGAACCAGAGCAGCGCACAGAAACACCGTTTACCTTCCCGCCGGAGCAGTACCTATTTATCTACTTGCACTTTGACGTGCTTTTGAACTGCTAGGTTGGCAGGAGCAGGGACAGAGCAACGGGAGCTCACCCCGTCACGGGGATTCGAACTGCTGACCTTCTGATTGGCAAGCCCTAGGCTCTGTGGTTTAACCCACAGCGCCACCTGCGTCCCAATTTTTTGGATTGGAATGGTTTGTATGGGCCTAAAATGGTTGGAGAACACCACAAAATGGATGCTGTTGAGGAACTATTAATGAACTGTGTTGATCAAAGAGCTAATGGAATGAGCACGTTCTGGCAAAAACAGTATGATATGAATGGTACATGCAAGGAGGCGTAAAAGACTGGCTATACAACACTAGTCTCAAACAATGCCAGGAGCTACAGAACACCAGGTTCAAACAAGAAGAATCATGAAATGCCAAGAACATGCCAAGAACAAGAAGGACTGCCAAGATTCAGATGAACAGCAAGAAAAGATGAGACTTCTCAGATTGGCGTGTGTGCCAGAGGCAGACAGGATCCCGCTATCTGGTCACCCAAAACTGACAAACTGATCACTTCAGTGAAGAGTGGTGGTGAGTATGGGAGATGAAGGGATGTGTGTCTGGTTGAGTCCATATTCCTTGTCTTGACATGTGAATTAGTTGTTAATCAATAAAACAATATTATAGAGAAAATCCAATACTGGTTGTCTGAGGTTGACTTGTGCCTTCCTAGGGTGTACTGGGTCTCAGCTGTGCTAAACACCTAAACAGATTAAAAGGACCTATTTGGTCATAACATTATCCCAACTTCTCAGTTAGCCCTTTTATCTATACGGGATAAGATTGGCATAAGGAAGACTTTAAAAAATCCTTCTTCAGATACCATAGCATGCACACGAAAGCTCATACCAATAACTAACTTAGTTGGTCTCTAAGGTGCTACTGGATGGATTTCTTTTCTTTTGTTTCGACTACGACAGACCAACAGGGCTACCTCCATGTATAAGGAAGACTTGATAGTGTACCTGCTTATAGTGGTTAGAATGACCATTGCACAGTTTTGGAAAAATTTAGATGGGGCCAATCTTCCTACTTGCTACACTAAAGTGAAAAACTAACAGCTGAGGGTCTTCAGGGGCTAAAGGGAAAGGGAAAGTTTTCTACCTTTTTGGGGATCTGACCTTATTTCATTTGTAAGCCAGGAGGAACATGGCCTGGGATCCCCTTGGCCCACAAATGAATAGGATTGATACAGTGACTAAGGGCATTTGAATCAGTGAATTACATTGCCTTGGTATCACAGGATCCCTGTTTCATAACCCTGCCTTGTTTAACTGTTCTGTCTCTGCTCTGGGACCCCTGGACAGTTATGTCCAGTCGAATTCAATTTTGGGGTGTGGCGCTCATCTCTGCTTTCAGGCCGAGGGAGGCGGTGTTTGCCCGCAGACAAAGAATTATGGGATATATATATTGCTGCCAGATCCTGTTTGATAACACTGTCTTTGGCAGGATTTTGTATGAACTTTTTTTGGAAAAATAAATAAATTTAAAAACACCCTTCTGAGAGAGAACCAAGAGCTCACCTCGTCCTTGGCCTGCAGGAGGAACTCGCCACCTTCGCTAGTCCTGGAAGAGAGGAAGAAGCAGCGGTTAGGGAAGTCAAGAACAGAGGAATAGCCTTGGGCTGGATCCGGCCAGTGACCCTCCTGCACTTCACTGCCGTTCAGGGGCAACTATGGAACTCCTTGCCACAAGAGACAGTGGTGGCCAACACCCTAGATGGCTGTAAAAGAGGATGAGGCAAATTTAGAAAGGAGGAGGAGAGGGCTATCGATGGCTCCTGGGCACAATGGCTATGCACTGAATCTCCGTTGCTGGAAACCACAAGAGGGAAGAGCGCAGTCGTGCCCAGATCCTGTTTGCGGGCTTCCCATGATGGGTCTCTGGTTGGCCCCTGTGAGAACAGGATGCCGGACTACATGGGCCAATGGCCAATCCTGCAACCAGGCTTTCCTTAAATTCTTATGGAACTTCCAGGTCCAGAGGCAGTCTATCTTGATTCCTAGGTTCTTTGGGGCGTTAGATCACTGAGAACAAGGATGTTGGGCTCGATGGGCCCCTGTGTTCTTATGTACTGCTGCCCCCCTTTTTTGCATGCTTTATTGGTTGAAAACTTTATAGTAGAAATGTACAATAGATGTTACAGGCAAAAGGAGACATAAAAAATAATGATTCATTCTTTAACTAATACTTGCTTTGTACATCCATTTGTGATTACATTTGACAAGACCTCCGCTCTTCCCCTTGCGTTCCCAAATTAAATTCCTTAAATATGCACTTAAACTTTGCTTTCTCCATGTTATTTAACTTACTATCAATTTTATTTTATAAAATTGTCCTATTTACACATCGAACCTCAATCAAGACCTGCCAACAGATTGAGCTTTTGACAATGTTCTTTTACATAGACTCCGTATGTATCCCACTCTGATAATTTTTTCATCTGTAACACCTCTTAACCTTGTTGATAATCTCGCCAGTTCAGCGTACTTTCTTATCTTGTTTTGCCAGTCTAATTTAGAATATCCTCTCCCTTCCAGCCTTTTGCGATTAGAATTCTGGCAGCGACTGTAACATACATAAGACTCTCCTGAACTTTTTGGGGATTTCATTACCCATAATTCCTAGCAGGAGGCTTCAGGTTTCTTAAGGAAGGAGCATTTGCACATTTTCTTCAGCTTGTAAATCATTTCCCAAAATGGTCTGATCTTTTCACAGTTCCACCACATGTGGATCCACGTGCCTTCAGCCTCCCTGCATTTCCAACAAGTGTTTGTCCTAGATCTGAACATTTTGGCTAGCTTAAAAAAAGGTAAAGGACCCCTGACAGTTAAGTTCAGTCGTGAACGACTCTGGGATTGCGGTGCTTATCTTTACTGGCCAAGGGAGTTGGCGTTTGTCCACAGACAGTTTTTCCGGGTCATGTGGCCAGCAGGACTAAGCCGCTTCTGGCAAACCAGAACAGCGCACAGAAACACCGTTGACCTTCCTGCTGGAGTGGTACCTATTTATCTACTTGCACTTTGACGTGCTTTCGAACTGCTAGGTTGGCAGGAGCAGGGACAGAGCAACGGGAGCTCACCCTGTCGCGGGGATTCGAACCGCCGACCTTCTGATCGGCAAGCCCAAGAGGCTCAGTGTTTTAACCCACAGCGCCACCTGCGTTACATTGGCTAGCTAAAGAGGCGTTAAATGCCACCCGTAAAGCATTTTCATGCAATTTTCTTTTAAATCATAACAGGATGTAAATCTAATGTCTTCCTTCCAAAGTCTCTCCCAACTTTCCATGCAATGTACTGCTGCCTTTTGATCTCCTTGCTGGCCTGGGGAGAGCCTGTTCCCCCCTCCTTCATTCGGCACCTTGGTTCCCAGGAGGGGCGCCATCTGTGCCCTGCCTCTGGGGCGTCCCTGCCCACTCCTTGGGGGCCTGCTTGCCCTCTTTGGAGGAAGGAGCAGAGCCCCCACCCAGGGCCGTCTTTAGCAGATGTGGCACCAGGGTGCAAATATCTGCCCAGCGCCAAATTACAACAGATAGTGTTGGTGTGGCCGTAGCTGCGCACTGCCAGCCATTCGGGGGGGGGGCAACTCTCCCCCATGCCGCTGCAGGAGAGCAACCCCACAGAGGCTTGGAAGGGAAGCTGCACGCCGCCAGCCATATAGTTGGCGGGGCGCAGCTTCCATCCTAAAGCTCTGCGGGAATCGCTCTCCTCCCGAGGAGGCTTGGGAGGGAAGCTGCACGCCTGCCAGCCTTATGGTTGGTGGGGTTGAGCTGGCGGGCGTGCAGGGAAAGGGGAGGCCGCCGGCAAAGG